AGGACATCAAGTCAACTGAGGTGTGGTTATTCATATTTGTGGTAATATGCTGCTGCCACTACCTGCTATGCATTACTTACACAGCTTACCAAACTGCATGTGAGAAGTTAGAAACCATTAAAACAATCACTAATATGTTCATAACAAAAAATAAACACACTGTCCACTATCAAAAGGAAGACTTAAGTGGGATGCTAAGTGTGATAAACAACAGACAGAAAGGAGGAGAATAGGAAAGTGTCAGAGGGAAATGAATAGGAGAATGGTCTCACACCAAAAATCAAGACCATGATTCAATGGAAATGGCAGAAAAATGTGCTATGTAAAAATCAGTCCATTCAAAAATTTTGTCTACACAGTGACAATTTTAACCAAGTATGCTTCTTTTTACAAGTAGTGTGTGTGTGAACATATAACATTTATCTACTAAATTTCCACTAAAAGAAAAAAGGTTAAGAAAAGAAAGATAAGTTATATAGCACATAACAGAAAAGGTTAAAACTTTTGTTAATTGTGACACAACCAATAGAATGGAAAGGGGAGTGGAGGAAATTTTTGCAAATCATGTATCTGGTATGGGTTAGTATCCAGAATCCATAAAGAACAGCCCAACAACAATAAAGCAATAAAAAAGAGCAAAGGGCCTAACTTGAGATTTGTTCAAAGAAAATATACAAATAGCCTACAAATAGCCAAACAATACTGAAAAGGATGATGAGCATCATAATCATGGTAATGTAAATAAACTACAGTGAGATAACAACTCACACTTGTAGTCACCATGGGAAACAATATGGCAGTTACTAAAAAAAAAAAAAAATCAGAACCAATTACCATATGATCTAACAATTCTACTTTTCAATATATAACCCCAAATAAGTGACTATAAAGTTGTACAAAGATGAGTATTTGTTCACTCAAGTTCATAGCTGCATTATTAATCATAACCAAAAGGTAGAAGCAAGCAAAATATCTGATGGGTGAATACAAAATTGTAATTTTGTATTATAAATGAATACAATAAAATATTATTCAGCTTTAAAAAGGAAAGAGATCCTGACATATTCTATAACATGGATGAGTCAGGAGGTCAGGATGCTAAGGGAAACCAATTAGTCACAATAAGACAAGTACTGTGTGGTTCCACATATAAGTAACTTAGAGAAGTTAAATATATACCTAATAGAAAAGAGGTTTCATGAGTAGTGGCAAGAGGAAACATGGCATTGTTGAATGGGTGGACAGTTCTGTTTTGCAAGATGAAAAGAGTTTTGGAGATTGGTTGCATGTGAAAATACTAACACTACTGAACTGTGTATTTAAGATAGCAAATTTTATGTATGTATTATACCACAATTTTTTCAAAAGGATAAAATCCAGAGGAAGAAAGGTAATTATGTGTAGGAGAATGGTAATAAAAATAACCTCTCATCAGAAACAATGGGGGTTAGAAAACTCTAGAAGGCATCCTTTAAAATTCTAACAAAAACAAAAAAGCCATCATTCTAGAATTTTGTTTTTAGAGATTTATTTATTTATGCATACAGAATGGGAACGGGCCAGAGTTGCAGGGATGGTGAAAGGATTCACCAGAGACAGAGTAGGGAGCAGAACAGGCTGATTGAGGAAGCACACTGCTGAGGGGAGCAGCAGGTGGGTCAGGAGAAGTCTGCTGTGCCATGTGGATCACATCTGGGGCGGGGATCTAACTCATGAAGTGGCTTTAGCTTCTTAGTGCTGTGCTTTAACCCGCTGCACCATCAAGGAGGGCCCTCCAGAATTTTATACCCAACAACAACAAAATTCTCAAAACTGACAGTGAAACTGGAGGACATTAAAACAAATAATGTTGTTCTGATTTTGGTCATCTCCAAGACCTAAATATAATCCTCTGCTCTGCTTCATTGCAAATATATATTTGGGTAAGAAATAGACACATTTCTGAAAGAATCAGGCATTATGAATTTCAGAACTTGAACCCCTAATAAGGTGAATATGTACTCTTGCTTACACCCCAGAAACAGGAGATTACTTTCTGCAGGGCATTGTGTGGCTGATGTGTAAGTAACAATAAATTTGAAAAAATAAAAGGATTAAAAGCAAAAAAACTGAAGGTAAAGATGAAATATTTTCAGATAAATGAACACTGGGAAAACCTGTCATGAAGGGACTCACATGGTAAGAATGGTAAAGGAAGAAAAATAGATGAATATCCTATCAATGTTTAATATTTGCTTTTGACAATCACATATTTTTTTAGGAACTTGGGGGGACACAGTCTCATAATTATGTAGATATTTACTATTTTTGTTGTTATTCCTTCATTCCTGAAAATCTTACTATTTTGCTTTAGTCTAAAGAACTTCCTAACTTCCTTACTATTCCTTCAAATTAGATCTCTTGGAAATTCTCTTATTTTTGTTTTAACATTTTGTTCATTAGAAAAAGAGATATACCTGCACAGTCACAGGCGGCAGGAGAGCTGCCTCAAGTCTCTTATTTTACTTTCACTAAGAATGTCTTAATTTTGTATTTGTTCTCTGCAAGATAATTTTGCAGGATGTAGGCTTCTAGGTTGATCAGAGAATTTCCCCCCTCTTTCCATTAACTTCAAGTATGCTTTCCTTTATTATTGTTAAAGTATAGACTTTTAAATCTGTGTCTTAATAATTCCAACATCTGGGCTATATTAGAGTTAGCATCTGGGCGTTTCCTTGAGAAAAAGCTCAGAGTTACATTTTTCTAGTTCTCTGTAAACTGAGAAATTTTGGATTATATTTTGTAGTGATGTGTAGATTCTGGGTTCTGTAATAACTCTCTGGAGAATGTTTGTTTTTGTTTTTTTTTCATGCAATCAACCTAGTCAGGTTTAGCCTGTAAGTTCTGTTTCTCCTTTTGTGTGCATTAGTACAAATTTCAATTTAGTTCACGAAGCTTTTGCTGGTTTGGTCTTTTGTGTAGCTCAAGGTAGGCCTTACATTTCTGCGGGCTTTATTCCCAGAATTAGGAAATCCCATCTTCAGCTCGCTTCATTCTGGGGCTACTCCACTCCTTTCAAGACACCCAAGAAATCCTTTTCTAGTTTCTCTACTAGAAAAGTGGAATTTCTATTGGTGTTTCAACCACCCGCACCAAAGTACTGTTTTGTGATGGGGTCCATATTCAGGAGAAACCCATAAGAGATAGAAATGTTACCTCTGTGTAGTTTCTTCTTTCAGTTTTGCTCACCTCTGTATCTGCCTCATTTTATTTGCTTTGTAGAATCCTTATGTAACTACATTTGTCACAAGTTTTGAGTTATCAATGGGACAGATAACCTGAAGTGGCTTCTGTCCCCACAGAGACAGAACTATGAAATATTTTTCAGAATTGTACCTCTTTGCTAAATTTTATCATCTCTTCACTCATTATCTACTTCTCCCACATAGAAAAGCAATTAAAAATCTTTGTACATTAGGTCCAAAAATAAGGATTTATTTTTTTTTCTATAAACTGAGTTCTTTCAACTTGGGTCAACTTTTACAGTTTCTTAATGTGTCTTGCAATTTCTCGTTGTATACAAAGAATTTGGATATGTTAACAGAACTTTCTTCATAGGAAAAGCCATGCATATTGGGACCCAGTGTGGGTTCCTTCAGGAAAATGGGTATTTGGGAAATTTGAGTGTGTTGTGATGGTAGCAAGCATAGTGCAGAGAAGTGTATAGAAATGAGAAGATTTGATTTCTAGACCTACAGCAGTCATATATTAGTTGTAAGCCTCAGTGTTTTCATCAATGAAATGGAGATAAACCTGCACCGACTATCTCCAACATTCTGACTTTTGGACACAAGCGACTCAAGTAAGATTATGCATGAAAACATTTTGTCAAGTGATATAATACAAACTTCCTTCTAACTGCCTCAATTTTCATTATACAAATTAGATATTTCTAAATTAGTCAGTTAAGAAATAGGACTTATAAATTGCTGATCATGCTAGCAATTGGGAACTAGCTCTGGCAGAACCCATCCGTTCTGTGCTTTTATTTACTTGACAATGGCAATACAAGATAATGAAACTGGGCCCTCCCTGGTGCACAGCGGGTTGGAATGCAGCACTTGGAAGCTGGCTGTGGCTGCCTGCTTCAGTGCTTCAGTTTGACCTCTGACCTCGGAAGTGACCCACATGGCATGGCAGACCTCTCCTTCTTGCCTGCAGTGTACTTTGTTGATCCACCTGGTCTGCTCCCCACTCTGCCTCTGGTGAATCCTCTTCACTGCCCCTGCACTTTTGGCCTGTACCCCAGTTCTGTAAGAACTGCATATGCATAAATAAAGAACTGCTGTATGGATAAAATAAATAAAGAACTGCTGTATGCATAAATAAATAAAACGTTTTAAAAAAGATGATAAAACTGCACAGACTCTTTACCTGTGAGTGATCTGGTAGTGAGATCAGAGTGTTGGCACTTTCTGTGATAGTAAAATGTTTTCTACTGGTGCTTTTCGGTAAGGCCACATGTAGACTACTGGTCATTTGAAATGTGGCTAGTGCTACTGAGTTTAATTTTAAACTTTATTTAATTTTAATTAATTCACATTTAAATTGCCATATGTGGATAGTAGCTCTGGCTGGAACAGTTCAGTAGAGCAAAAGTCACATGGGGATTTATTCAATAATGTTATAGTTTTATAGCTACACTTTCATGGCCAACAAGTAAATTGACTTTAATTATTTTAATCTGAAACTCTTGCCCCTAATGCCTTTCCCTGCTCCAAAAAATAAACAACAGGTTTTTATAACTTGATTTTGATAATGAAGTTTTTTTTTTGGAATTCACTTATCACTGTATTGCACCATGATGATACCAACAAAATACCACTAAGCAAAATAGCATATACACATTTGTTCACCTGAAGATACATGTTTGAATTACTGCTCCTTAAGCAAAGAGAGACTGAAGAGCACTAGGCTCTAGGAGGGTCATCTCACCACAACTGATTATGGCAGTCTCCTACCTTGTATTTTCTGCTCTCCGACTTATGCACTGGTGCAGGTAGAGATACTCCTGAGGTGCGCTGGTGGACAGGGTGGGCTGCACGTGGTTGGACACAGGGGGCTCAAATGTGAACAGCGTTGGCTGACTGGAGTGTGAGGGGGCTGAGGATTTTCGCTCTCGGATAAGGTGTTGATTGGAGCTGCTGAGTTCAGCTGGAGAAGAGCGGGGTCCATGGCTGGTGGAGAGGTTTCTCAGGGAATCTGTGAAAAGGAGAAAACGCTGCCAATGTAAAAGGAAAGAAAAATGGCCTGATCCCAAAGTAGGTTGTGGAGAAAGAAGAAACAGCAGGAGAGCATTCTTTTCCTCTCTGCCCTTCTGGAAAACTGGGCTGTGGCCTCTAGCTTGGAACCTTGGACTGCTTCAGGCATTGCCCCGAGGCCATTCCCTATCACAGATCAGAGTTCCCTATTTCCAGGAAGTGTGGCTACCTACACTCCCAGGATGTATTTGGGCCCTCAAGAAAGCCCAGGCTCCAGAGCACAGAGGACCACTGCCTTCTCTCTGATAGTTCCTGCTAGAGGGGGTCCTCAGTCTCTCTCAGCGCTAGGGCTCACCTTGTTAAATGAAGTTTTGCTTCCTGAAGACTCAACTGGGTCAGTGGACTATGGCTGACTGTACTGATGATAAAAACTCAGTGCATTTGCTGCTGTCCTCCACTGGCCTCAGTTCCTTTTGCCTACCCTTTCAAATCCTTCGAGGACAGTGAGGTTCATGTTCCCTATTTCCCAGTTCCTGAACTAACCACTCTGTCTACTGTTTTTCCCCTCTTAACTCTGATCTTAAACTCTGGTGTGTTGTATTAGAAAGGAAATGAAGTATTAAAGACAGATTATAATTTAATGTGCAAGATCCCAAGCCAAGGCTTTACTCATTTGGCTGGTTCTCTAAGCTTAGCCAGATTCCTTAGCAAAATGTTCAAGGCCTTTCACAGTCTGACTTACTTCCTGCTTTTCTCCTCCCATACCCAGGGCATATGGAATCATCATCAATCCCTGAATACACCAGCTCCTTTTATGATTCTCTCTTTTGGCTTAGTTTGCTTCTTCTGCCTGGATTTCACTTCTACTCTGTACTGATATGCAGACTTGAACACCCTACATGGGATCATTCTCTCTGAAACCCTCCTAGATTTGGCCATTCTTCTGCACATGGCTTATGCTTCCCTGCCTAGCCCAGGGTAGAAATTGATGCCATTACCCCTATAGTCTCAGGACCTGTCTATAAAGACCTAGTACATATAAAGCTCTTGTCTGTGCTTGCAGAATAAGTGAAAACATTCATTCAGCATACAGCAATTGCAGGAGTGAAAGTTCTTCTTCAAAAGAAATAAAGGGGTAAAGATTAATTTCTGGTGATATGATTGCTAGAGGGTGATAATATTTTTGTGGGGGTGATGGTGACTATTTAGGGTAATTCAAGTCATTTCGGAAGAGTGAGTTCTCTTTCCACTCCCTGTTATCTGACCTATTTCAGGCTGTCCTCTTCTGGCCCTCGGCAGGATCACTAGCTCATTAATGCTCTACAGCATTAATTACTCTCCAGTATTTTCTGATGCTAGGCAGGACAATTTGGGCCTGTATATAGCAGATAAAGCCACTGGCCTCCAGGGAAGGACAGTTCCATTGACAGTTATATTGACCTCCAAAATGAATTCCCATTATGGGTCTTATAGTGAACTAGATGTTTGTTAACAGAATCGATGGCTTCATTACCCCATTAGATCTGCAAGATGAACTCTCTAATGGCCGAGGGAAGAGGGCTCGTGCTAGGGGATGAAGTGACCGTGATGCCAGGCATGCATGTAAGTTGCCCTTGAGAAGACACAGGGAAGGCGCAAAGAGAAACCACTGGTATGATTCTGTATCTCCATGGTCTTCTTGGACTTCTCTTTCTCTGCTTTAAAGGGGGCTTCTTCAGGATTCTACCCCAGACCCTGCCATAGCTTCCCTCCAACTCAGGAGAATCTCCTGAGATAAGCTCCAACATTCTTCCTTTAGATTCCACCTCTGTGATGACATTTCTCAAATCTTAACCTCTGGCATCCTTTCCTGGGCTCTCTGTACATCACTCCACCCACTGGACATCTCCATTAAGATGTCCCACAAGTAGGTTAAGCTTAGCAATCTAGTTAGAATTTGCCCTCCTCCTGTGTCTCTGATGTCAGTGACGTGCATCAATAACACCATCTAACCAGTTCTCAAAGCCAGAAACCTAGGGATGATCTATGCTCTTTCCGGTTCCCTAACTCCCCAAATCATGTCATGATATTATGTCACTGCCCTGTTTAAAATTCATCAGTAGCTCCCTATCATCTTCAAGATGCCCTTCAAAACTCTCTGTCTCTTTAACACCATTTCCTTGGTTATTTCTTTATCTTGTTTTTTACATATACTTCTCAGTGCTCAAACAGAATTTCAGAAGCATACCAACCTCTCTCTCAACATTTCATACTATAAACTGAGTGAGGGTAGAGATTCTGTCTCTTATGTAACTGTTTTAAATCTAGCATGTATATGACACAACTCAGTAATTACACATGGATAAACAGACTATATCACTTAGTAAGTCATACTACCTCGGTAACACTCTTCATTGCTTTCAGAATAAAGTTCAGATCCTTCAGTCTGACAAGAAAAGCCATTTTGTCTCAACCTACTTATCCTGCCTCATCACCCAGTGCATCCTTATTGTCCCTATGTTGAATGCTTGGCTTGGGTGTATATAAACAAGTGGACCTGTCCTCACCTTGAGGCCCTCTGTCTCTAGAGCAGAGTGTCAGTCTAATCTGTGACATCTGTCAATGTGAGACCTGGAGAAGTTACTTCTCCCATCTGAGTCTCAGCTTCCTTATTAACAAATTGACATAGGGTGATTATAAGGATGAAATACATGTTGTAAGTACTCAAAATGTGTTCTATCACTTAGATATTCTAGTTACTTCTGCCTAGAACAGTACTAGCACACAGTGGGTATTCAATTATTTGCTAAATAAATGAAAGCATTTCCCCAACACAAAAAACCAAATATGCTTTCCTTATGGACAAAATCAGAGACATTTTTGAGGCCTGTTACTATGATGAAGTCTGGAGTAGGATGAACTGGATACACAGACACCTGGAATTTCATCTGACTAACTTAAAGTCTTGTCTAAGAAATATTTGTCTCCACAATGGTCTGCAGTCAGTTCCAGAAAAATTCTTTCAAAGCTGTTTTATCACTAAATCTTGCCCAAATCCCACTTTATGCTCGCAACTTTAAAAAATTTCTACCTGAATTTTGTGATTATTCCATGTTGCCTGTAATGAGTTGAGCAGTGTATCCCCTCTTATCTACCTGAAACCTCAGACTGTGACCTTATTACAAATAGAAGCTCTGTAGATATAATTAGCTGAGATGCAGTCAATTAGATTAAGGTGGACCTAATTCAATGAGTGATGTCTTTATAAGAAGAGAATACAGAGACAAGGAAAACACCATGTGATGACAAGGAGGAGACAAGACAAGCACAATGACACATTACTCAGCCACAGAAATGAATGAAATAGTGATATCATGCTACAACATAGATGGATCTTCAAAATACTATGCTAAGCAAAAATATCTAGTGATAAAGGATTATAGATAGTACAATTTATTTACATGAAATTTCTAGAATAGGGAAATCCATAAAGACAGAAAGTAGAGTAGTGGTTGCCTGTGGGAAGGGAGTGGAGTAGGAATGTAATAATTGCTAATGAATATGTTTTTTTTTCTGGAGTGGTGAAAATTTTCTAAAATTAGATTGTAATGATGGTTACACAACACTAAATGTACCTAACCACTGCCTTGTGTGCTTTAAATGGGTGAATTTCATATTATGGGAAATAGAGCTCAGTGAATTTATAAACACAAACACAGTCTGACATTTCCTCAACAAGTTAAACAGAGTTACCACATGACAGCAGTTCTCTTAGGTACATGCCCAGGAAAAATGAAAAACTGTCTACACAAAAATTTGTAAACAAATGTCCACCGCAGTTTTATTCATAATAGCCAAAAACAAAACCAACTCAAATGCTTACACGCTGGCCAATAAATAAACAAAATGTGATAAATCCATAATATGGAATGTTAATCAGTAGTAAAAGAATAAAGTACTGATATATATTATGAAATTATGAACCCTGAAAAATTATGCTAAGTGAAAGGCATATTCAGTATCATATTATGGGATACTGTCTAGCATTCAAAAACATAGAAACAGAAAGCAGGTATTAATGACTGGCTAGGGCTGGGGTGAGGATGGGGGATGAGAAGTGACTACAAATGGATATGAGTTTTTTTCCTTGGGTGACAAAAAAGTTCTAAAACTAAATTGTGATGATGGTTGCACAATCCTGTGACTATATTTAAAAACAATGGGTACAGTATACCAGCGAGTGTAAGACACCCCCCTCCACATGTATGAATAAGGCCTTCTGCAAAGTACGAAGTGTTAAGTATATGCAAGAGATTGCTAGAGTCAAATACACATGACCTTTTAGTCTTTATTTCCTCTCTGAAGACAAAACTGACCACTCACTAAATACCAAGTCCTTATTAAAGTACAGCAGAATAAGAAACATGTTCCCTTTCTCACTTTCAGTTCCCTGAACTTCCTTCCAACCCCATTACTCAGCCCTTTACCTTGTAATCATAACAAGAAATGAGAATTCTAGCAAGACAAATAGCAAGAATAGAGTTTGGGGTAAAAATATCCAAGAAGGTTGAACCCCCCTTGCAGACAGAGGGTCTTATACACTTGACAGGAGGGAGAGTCTGGGGTCCATCCAGCTCTGTCACTAATTAGCTGTGAAGTCACGGGTGTGTCTTTCTTTAGGCTCTAGTTCCATGCCCATTAAGTTGGGAGGATAATCCCTGGCCCACCCATATACTTCACCAGACTGTTGTTGTTGTTACAGGTGAATGAGATAAAGGTAAGAAAACAAATACACACACACACACACACACATACACACAACCATAACACATGAATAGGGTTTGTTTATACTGCCTGCATATCTCTTTAGGAAAGGAAAGAATAGTAAAGGTAAAGGAAAACACTAAACAATATGTGGCTGGGCTGTTTTCTAGTGTTGGCTGTAAGGCTGTTGTTCTACTAAGTGTCTTGAGTCATTAGGAAGGTCAGTTATAAGTCAAGGAGAAAATAGATTCTTCCAGA